GTGTGTGTGTGTGTGTGTGTGTGTGTGTGTGTGTGTGTGTATGTTCAGGAACATCAGAGTTTCTAGCCCTTCATCTTGTGAAGATGATGTTTTTCTAGCTATCTTAATGTACTGCTGTTTGGCTTGCTCCGATCTAGACAAATCAAAGCAATGAAGGTATCAAGGGAGGTAGGAGCATCCCCCCCTCTGGACACTGTCTTGATGAAGCACCCTTTTCAAAATTATTCAGCTTCACAAAGCCAATGTCATGTGAGTAAACCATATCTAAGAAACAAATGAGACAAAAAAGCCAATTTTTAAAAATATATATTTATTTCTTTTTATTTATATGTCTATGCACATGTATGGTGTACCCTCAGAGGTCAGAGTAGGACACTGGATCCATGAAACTAGAGTTACAGGCAATTGTAAGTTGTCCAACATGGATACTGGGAACTGAACTATGGTCTTCTGCAAGAAAAGAAAGCCCTCTAAACTATTCCATTCCCTATAAAGCCAGTTCTTTATCACCAACAGTGGGCATGCCATAGGCTGGTGCACTATGGATCAGACACCATAATAAACACAGGCACCCATGGGTACTACTGCCTAAGACAATATATAACCAAAAAAACTGAAAAACAAAATATTGTCCTGATAAAGTCTTCACCATTAGCTGGGAAGAGCAGATTCCTTGCTGTCCCTTGGAAACACAATCCAATCCTGGAACTTTTGAATTGTATACTTTTTGCTTCTAGTTTTTTCTCCTCAGATTTTCTGACCTATCCATCATTACTCATTAGTTCATACAAACGTATTTTCATGTCTTCCAGGATCTTCTCTAGGTGCCTGTATTCTGCAGCAAAACAAAAGAACAATTACAAAGAATGCCCTGACCCAGTGGAGCTGTCATTTTAGAACAATGATCTATCACTTATTACACCTTTGGCATAGAGTATGTGTGGACTGAAAACTGGGATGGTCAATGCCATAAGGTTTCAAACAGACACAGGTTCCCTCTGAACATCTCCCTGGGAAGCCGTGCACAGACCTCTGCTTTCTGAGCAACAGCCTTGTGTAGTTGGTAGAACCCTGAGCCACTCTGCTTAGAGCTAAGCTACAACAAGGACAGGGGGAGACAGAACTACAGACTCTCCCAGGTGCTACTCAACCTCACCAACCACATGGTTCAGTCTGTTGCCATTTGTTCATCATCCCCTGAGGCCCAACACCTCAGCTGTGTTCCTTCTGTCTACAACATTGATGAAGAAGATGACATGCAGAAGAATATCTGTTTAGACCCAGATTGGTTTTCAGAACAGCCGAGACTGCCAACTTAGAAAAAAGAACCCAATCTGTATTTTAATAGTGACTAAATTATTTTTCAAGGATGCTGCAACTAAAAGCGTCACAATCCCCAATATGTCTTGGTTCCTAACTCAATATTTTTAATTACTTGCCTTTATTGGTCAGACAAAATGTAGAGTCAAGTTTCAAGTAATCCCTTTTATTGGACTAATGGGAGAATATTGACAGATAAGCTTTGGGGATACAGAAAACTCCCCTCAAGGTCAGTGAGGGATTGACTGCAGGGAAAGGATTTCTGTAGGCAGAGAAGCCCCTGTGTCAATACAGTGCAGTTTGTCTGATAAAGGGTATTACTCAAAACATGGCTGGGGCTCTGCTTTGACATCTAAAAACCATAGTGCACTAGGGACATTGTTATATGGGGCGGGCTTCTACAGGTTCCTGGCATGGTCTTTCTGAACCTCCATTTCCTCACCTCTCCTGTCTGCTTCACAGAGTTAGTGCATTATTAATGTTGGTTAGAAAACTTCCATAGCTAGGGAGTATGGTAAAATATGTGATATAATTACTATTGATTGTTAATATGCCCAAACTATTAGTGGCAATAAACTGAAGCTAACAGAAAACAACTAGCCACCAACACTGATAATCACCCTGGTGAGGCCTTTGAATTCCTACCCCCATACTAATAAGTTACGGCATCACTTCAACTAAATGCTCTTGAGTGGTGCCCCAGTTCCAAGAGCAGATCTATGCTCACCCAATGCCATAAGATGAATCCTGCATTCTGTTCTAGAAAGAACTGTCAGGTTCCAAGTAGGCTCCTCGTTCATTGTGGAACACTTCCCCATGGTGTCCTTTGTGATAAAAATCCAGACAAATAACAAATAACCCTCACTTTTTGAGTTCTAGGGATCTAGACTCGTCTATGTGGATGAATATTAATACCTCAAAGTTGAAAAACTATCATCTTCAGTAGCACAGACAATTAACCTTTCCACACCAGTTTAGTGCATTTTATTAAATCTTAATTCTCCCCTAAGTTGCAGAAATTTTACCAGTTATTATTTCTTATAAAAGCTGCTCATTTAAAAATTTTTATTTGCCTAAGTATGCATGGCATGTATAGGTATTTGTATATGCATATTTGTATATGTGTAGGTGTGTGTGTGAATGTGTGGGTGTACATATTTTTTGCCTGGCTGCCTGCAAAGGTTCAAAGTTGCTATTGGGTATCTTTTCTCAATTACTCTCCACTTTATTTATTGAAGCAGTTTCTCCCCCAGAACCTGGAGCTAGCCAGCTTGTCCCAGGGATCCCCTTTCCTGCTCTGAGAACTGGGATTACAACAGCCACTGTTGCCTATGAATCTTTCATGTAGGTCCTGGGGACCCAAATTCCTGTCCTCAAGCTTGCAAGGCAACCACTTTACCCACTGAGCCATCTCTCCACCCAGAGCTGCTCATTTTAAAACAACTCACTGGACAGTGCATTTGGCAACAGCTAGCTATTTCTTGACAGTGCCTCTCCTATGAGAGGGACTAACTTGCAAAGCTAAATTTTCAAAAGAATTTCACAACACTGGATTGAACATTTCTGAGAGTTGTACTTGAGATCCCTGTCAATGGGGAATCATTTAGACTAAATCAGCTGAGGACTGATTTAAAACAACTCATTTTAAAATTCTTTTTATTAGAAGAATCCACACACTCAAACATGTTGATGTCTCAAATACATCATAAAGCTAGGATTCCTCCACACATACTCCCTTCAGCAGACTACATAACACCTTCCAGTTCTATGAGAGCTAACCAGAGGGGAGGAAGCTTCCTGATTAGCACCAACTTGATTTCTCCATGTCTTTGGTCAAAAGTGTGTAGTGTCTTTAGTAATAGAGTCTTACCACCACCAACAATGACAATAAGACATATTATTTGAAGGTCTCCAGGACACCCTTGACTAGCAACTAAAGGAGAAGTATCCACACACCGCAGGTGGCTTTGTGCTTCAGTCAAAGCCTACCCTTGTAGAAGGAAGAATTCCTTGGGTTCATCACATCTGTAGAAGCAAAAGCATATTCCAAAAAGACTAGGCATCTAGGAGAGGAAGTGATGGAGAAATAGGGGCAGACTTAGGGAGTCAGGATAATTCTCTTCAGGTTTGCTATCATAATTAATCCAAAATTTAGCCTCAGGTTTGCTGCCTTACTTAGGTTTTTATTGCTGTGAAAAGACACCATGACCATGGCAACTCTTTTTTTTTTTCCTTTGCACCATTGTTTATTGAAGTGGCATTCCAAACTGCAGTGAGTGTGTCACACTATACATACATATATGAAATTTTTTTGTCCCAACAGTTTTACATGCAAATAGTCATATAAGGAGTCATTGGTCTGGTTCAAGGCCTCTGGATTCTGAAACATCATAAATGCTGGGCTATCTCTGAGATTCTTCTTGGATATCCTGTTGTCGTTCAAAGTCAGGGTGATCCTTCAGCTGGGCAGGGTGTCCAGGGTTAGGATTCACTAGAGCTCCAGGCTGTTGCTGGCTCACGTGGTATGACCACTGTGCCTGCTGCCTCTACAGTAGTAGCGGCTCTATGCTGCAGGTTGGGACTAAGGATCCTCCCTATAAGCTGTTCCACGGTCTTGCTGGTGCTAGTGGCTTCCACCATCCCTGGAGGTACAGCCATTCTCTCTAATGCTCCTCTCTGAGTTCCTTGCAGTAGGGCAGAACTCTGGCTGGGGCTTGGAGGACGGCCGCAGTGGACTATGGCAACTCTTAAAAAGGAAAACACTTAACTGAGGCTGGCATACAGTTCAGAGATTTAGTCCATTCTTGTCATGGTGGAAAACCTGGCGGCATGCAGGCAGACATGGTGCTGGACAAGTAGCTGAGAGTTCTGCATCTTGATCTGCAGGCAGAAGAAGAAGACTGTGTGTCACATTGGGCATAGCCTGAGCATATGAGACCTCAAAGCCCTCCCCAACAGTGACACACTTCCTCTGACAAGGCCATACCTACTCCAACAAGGCCACACCCCCTGATGCTGCCACTCTCTATGGGCCAAGCATTCCAACACATGAGTCTGTGGGGGCCATTCCTACTCAAACTGCCACATTTGCTTTCATAATCAATCCAAAATTTAACCTTGGCAAAAAACATGTCATTCCCTGCACACAGACAAGACCTTGGTTTCTTTCCTTATCTGTAATGTTTAGCCAGATCAATGACGAGAAATCTCTACCCCTCAAGAGCAAGTGCATTCTAATGAAGATGAAATGGAGGCGAGGGAAGCAAAACTAAGGACAGAAACTTGGACTTGGATTTAAAGACAGACAGGTTTCAAAGATGAAATATTAAGAAATCAATACTTCTACACACAAGATTCAATAGCACTAATTTGTACCCAAGTCATTTACACCCTCTAACAACTGTTTCTTTTGAGGTGTAAAAAAACAGAACAACAACAAAGAAAAACAAAAAACAATGAAAACCAGAAACCACTATTTGCTTCTCCCATTCTAAGTCACCGAGTGACAGCTCTGAGGCTGGCTGGTTTATGTTCACAGGCAAATGCCCTATGTGCCAAAGGGAGCTGTGTACCTCTAGAAGTAAGACTCTTATTAGTGTTTTAAAATTAAATGCAACCTTTATCACAGAGACACAATATATTATATACTTTTTTATTGTTGCGACAAAACACCATGACCAAAAGCAGCTAGGGATAAAAAGGGTCTATTTAATTTTATACTTCCAGGTAACAGTCCATCACAGAAGGAAGTCAGAGCAGGAATTCAAGGCAGGAACTGAAGCAGATACCATGTAGGAACCATACTTATTGGCTTACTCTTCATAGCTTGCTCAACCTGATTTTTTTTTTTTTTTTTATATACCCGCCCAGGTCTGGTCCCACTCACAGTGAGCTAAGCCTTCCCACAAAAATCATTAATGAAGAAAATGATTCACAGGCTTACCTACAGGCCAACCTTATGAAAGCATTTCCCCAGTATGTTTCTCTCAGAAAACTCTAGCTTGTGTCAAGTTAAAAGGAACCAAGTAGGACATACAAACACTATGTTGAGGAAGAACGGTATCAACCTTCTTTGATCAGCTTTGTGAGCTGATCCTGCAATGTGGACTATCGCCTTCCTCTTCACTGGCCTCCCTTCAGTTCAGGCCACAGGCCACTGACCAGACTCAGGGAATTATCCATTTCAAGAATAGTTTTTCACTAGTCTTGTAACTAAGATCTCTAAGGTTGTTAGAGACTTGTATAACTCCATATACTATTATTAGTTATGAAGCTAATGGGTTTATTTTTTTAACCAGTTCTACTTGAACAGCCATAGCCCTGAGCAAAACTCAACAACAATTAAGATGTACTTCATCACTGAATAAACTCTCCCTTGTGAGTCATGTAACAAGGCCTGCTTTGCATGTGAAAAATGGCAGAAGAATGGCACATGCCTTTCCAAGATTGGCCCTGTTCGCACCCCGTAGAATATGCCTTCATGGAATATATAAAAACAAATCTTCCTCAAGATCTCTTTGGGGACCTCTTCTGATTCTCTCCATAGAGAAATTTCTCACTCCTGTTGTTATTTATTCCTTCCAACAACCATTTGCTAAATGCCTGCTGGTGTCAGGCTTTGTGATAGACTCTGGGCTCACAGCAGTGGATCTGATAGCTTGGGCCCTGTCTTGACTCTGTGTATGGTTCTGCAGTTGGAGTTACAGTTAAGGACAGGGACACTTGCACAACAGGAGAACTACATACTGGAGTGAGCAGGGGTGTATGTGAACACACAGGGGCTCTTAATCTAGTCTGGAGAGTCAAGAAACTTGCCTGGAGATCATAGGTGAAAGCTGAGCCAAGCAAAATAGAGATGTGAGTGCAAAGACCAAAATCAAGATGTGTCTGTAGGAGTGTGTGTGTGTGTGTTGGTGTGTGTGTGTGTGTGTGTGTGTGTGTGTGTGTGTGTGATGGCTTTAAGAAGTGGTGTGGGAAATTCCATGTGTGTAAGCAAACCCAGTTGACTGGTAAAACATTACTTCTAGTGTGTCTGATTCAGAGCCCTGCCATTCCCAATGTGGGCAAACAGGTAGAAAAATAACAAAAAACGAGCCAACTGGCTCTCTCTTTGTGAGCTGGGACCCCCAGCTTCTCCTGCCCTCAGTCTTCAGCCCTCCCACTCCTTTGTCCTTCAGGATGAGACCAGGACTTCCACCTTTAGCCTCCTGACTCTTGAGTTTTCAGCTTTGAACTAAGTCAGCTTTCCTGTGTTTACAGCTTTACAGAGTCAGGTCTGTCCTTCATAAACACATGATTTAATCCTAATTATATAGATCTACTTGTCAGCCTAATTTACCTGTCTTCTACTGTTTCTGTGTTTCTGGAGAACTCTGACTGGTGAAGATAATTTCAACAATGTTACTTGAAAAAAAAATCAAGAAGAAAGATTAAGAAGAAGCAGATGACCTTTGAAGCAGGTCATTTAAAACTATCATGGCATGAGGGACAAGCTTCTCACAACAGATAGTGTGGAATGATGGGAAACAACCTGGAATCACAAATCCAGGTTCAACACCAAGGCTCTGATCCCCATAAGTCAGAAGTCCAAATCACCCATCTGGGGCATGGTAGGTAGTTTTCCCCTTCGGTTAAATTAGAATTGAAATGCACCTGCTTATTTCACAGTGGTGTTAGGCTCAAAAGTACCTGGGAATACACTTGTAAAACCATAGAACATTACACAAACATTAGCTGCTGTTCTTAAAACTAAAGCAGAAATGGGCTAGGAGAGTTAATAGGATTTAGATACAAGAAAAAAACAGAGATTACGAATATAAAGTGAAAGATAGCTCTCTTCCGTGCTAAGGTAATAGCCAAAATTAATTTCTCAAAGCCTGGGAAATTTGCCAGAAATAGATGAAAGAGGTACAAAATCTTATTTTAAAAAAGAAAGAAATTTAAAATGTGATCTTCAAAAAAAAAAAAAAGATCAGCACTCTGAAGAAGGGAAGTCCAACTCCCTATTTAAGATGTCAAGAGGGAATATACTATCAAGACTGTTCTTCAGAGCGTGCATGAGCACTATCAAGAGCCTTCTTCAGAGCGTGCACGAGCACTGTCAAGCGCGTTCTTCAGAGTGTGCACGAGCGCATGGATGCTTTCAGAGGCTAAAGCATTTAACTGGTGCCTAGATTTACAGAACAAACCAAAGCTCATCAGACTGAAAATGAATACACAAAACCAAGATACCAGATAACAGGGCTGTGACCAGGTAAAGCAGGGTAACGACAGGAAAGAAAACTTGAGTTAAAGTACAGAGCACCACCACAAGCTTCAGATAGACTGAGCAGCTCCCCTTGGGCCTGTTCTCTGGTGCTCACATGTTCATAGAGGGTATTTAAAGGTTACCCTGCCTGGGGAATGGAGGGGGAATGGCTAGGGGCAGGTGGGATGTTGGGGGGAGGGGAAGGAGGGATTGACATGTGAAGCAAGCTTGTTCCTAATTTGAACTAATAAAAGAATAAAATAAGAAATAAAAATTTTTTAAAAAAGGTTTTTGTTTTGTTTGTTTTGTTTTGAGTGTGACGTGAGTGCTCTATACTTGAGATGTTTATGTGAGTGAATGTGGCCTTGCCATTGTGGAGGTCAGAGGACAACTTTGGGTGCTGTCCTCACCTTCCAGCTTGTTTCAGGTGGAAACTTTTGTGTTGCTTGCTGAGCACACCAGACAAGCCAGCCCAAGAGCTCCTAGGACCCTCCTGTCTCCCATTTTTTTCACAGGAGCACTGGGATTACAGACACCTTATGGAGTCTGCCTTTTACATGCATTTGGGAGATTTGAACTCAGGTCCTCATTCTTGCTCAGGTAATGCTTTATCCACTGAGACATCTCCCCAGAAAGAAAGGGGAGTATCAGTGACTTTGAGACCTAGCAATGGTTGGGCTAAGATAGTGCTGAGAGAGAGGTCACAGACATTGGAGTCATTTGTAGAGTTGGTTAAAGTAAAAAGAGAGTGGGGTTAAAGTAAACAGATGGCACATCATGGACTGTGTTGTAAAGGGGGCAGAGCTGAGAGTCACACTGCTGAGTCCCATGTGCCAGAGAATATCTGTGAGGCATCTATAGGAATAGAGGTGGCTAAAGATGTTAATTACTACATAATTCACAGGAGGCATTTGGTACCATGAAGGCTGGCTTCCCAATGTCACTGCCATCAGTCTCTTCATTGCAAAACTAACTTCTATGTGTGTTATGTGAATATCAGGGACTATTCTGTTTTATGCTCAAGTTGGGGAGTGGGTACCAAAAGGGAATATTCAAGTGGGCTGGAGCAGGAGATTATAGATGCTAAGTTCTACCTAGCGTTGGGAGTTTGGTTCCAGTATGATCTCCTCGATGCCCTGTTACACCACCTCAGGTTCTCATCTTGGGCAAGGTAGGTAACTAAGCTGAGATTGCTTTCCTTCCTCCATTCAGTCAACAAACGCAGTGAACATCTCATGTCTACCAGGCACTGTCCTAGGCACTGAGGATGAGTTCAGGGGAAGAAGAAGTAGGTATGAGCCCTGTGCTCAGGAAACTTGGATTTTCTTTCAAAGATTTATTTTATTGTTTATTATGTGTATTGCATGAGCACATGTGTGCTGGTGCCTGAAGGGGTAAGAAGATGTTGGATCCCACAGGGCTGGAATTACATGCAGTTGTGGGCTGCCCAGCAGTTCTTGGGAACTGAACTGCAGTCCTCTGAAAGAGCAGCAAGTGCTCTTAGGTACTGAGCCATCTCTGCAGCCCAGGAAGATATGGATTTAACAGGGTTTGAGAGACAACAAATGTATGAGGTTCATAGCGATCTGTGCCACCAAAAATGATGTAGGGAAGGAGAGCAGAGTGACAAGGG